AAGACGTTCTCGAACGTTTGCGCCACGGAAGGAAGGAAGGAAGTAGTGGTAGTGGTAGTGGTAGTGGTAGTGGTAGTGGTAGTGGTAGTGGTAGTGGTAGTGGTAGTGGTAGTGGTAGTGGTAGTAGTAGAAGAAGAATCTGAAGGGCAGACCCAAAGCTTGCATGTACATGCATATATATATATATATATACATATTTATATATATATATATATTGTCTTTAGTACTACCATGATTATTTCTAGTAGTATGATGTATGTATGTATGTACGCATGCATGCATGTTTGCATGCATGCATGTTTGCATGCATGCATGTTTGCATGTATGCATGTGTGTATGTGTAGGTTTATGTATATGCATTACTATGTGTATGTGCATGTGTATTTGTGCGTATTTATGTGTATTGTACATGTATAGGTATATGCATATGTATATGTATATGCAAAATTACAAGCACATGCAGAGACAGACACAGATGCAGACATAAAGTGGAACATGCGTACATACGTACATGCAAACCCATACACACATACAAACATTCACAGTTCTATACGTACATTTGTACCAAGGCACATACGTATGCAGACATAGGCAGGCATGTATGTATGTATGTATGTATGTATGTATGTATGTATGTATGTATGTATTTCTGCACATGGCCTAAACCCTAGTCCCTGAACCCTAACTAATACTTTGGTAGTTTGAATGGTGTGGTCGATGCTTCTGCGACTAGTGCTGCATCGCAGGTGTGCTCTATTGTGCGGCTCACTGCTTCTAGACGCCTACTTTGTTATCATTATTGTTAGTCTTCAAGCAGTATCATTATTATTATGATTATCATGTTCAGATGATGATGATGATGATGATGATGATGATGATGACGATGATGACGATGATGATGATGATGACGATGACTATTACTGCTATTATTATTCTTATTGTTATTATTATATGTATTGTTACTATTCTTCTTCTGAATTATTCTTATTGTTATTATTATATGTATTGTTACTATTCTTCTTCTGAAATATGAAATAGCCTGTGAATTGGATTGGGGACCCTTCATCACTGCTGTTTGTTCTTGGAGTTTCTGGGTTCGCCTCACCTGCAAGGCTTGTGTTCGTTGCAGCTCTGCTTTTAGCACTCAGCTCCCGTCACGCTGAGTATACAATGCCAGAAGAAGACGATATATCTTTCTCTGCCCTTAAACCCAACACGGAAACCTCATATCCAGAGCCCCAACCTTACCCCAACACCCCAGAGTCCGAAATTCCAAAGCCCGTAAACCCGCCGCACATCCTAAAGTCCCATGCCACAGAGCCTCCCCGTGCCAATGGGACGACCCAGATGCCTTCCGAGATCCCTCGGTGTTCAGGATGTACGGAACTTCAGGTTTTAGGATTTGGAGTTCAGGGTTTAGGGTCGAGTGTTTTCGGCCGTATTTTCCTGGTGGTTGGGCATGTTGAACGCATGAATCCCGAGCCATGGATGCGGGCCACGATATCTCCGCCCCAATGTGGGTGGTGAGAGCCATGGACATCATCCGCATGTCGGGCACCCCGAAGCATCACCAAGAGCTGAAGCAGATGGGACTTCTGGCGCCTTGTCCTGAACCTTGAGCTCTGACGTCCAAAGCCCCCTCGACCGTAAACACAAACATCCAAAAATCAAACCCTCAACCCTAAACCCCAAATCCTAAACACTCCGCCGAAAAGGTGTTCTAAAAAAGCCTAAACCCCTAAACCCTAAGCCCTAAACCCTATGCCCTAAGCCCTACACGCCAAAACCCTAAACCTTAAATCCTAAACCCTAAACCCTCAACCCTAAACCCTCAAAAACCCTAAGCCCTAAACCCTAAAGCCTAAATCTTAACCCCTCAAAAACCCTAAACCCCAAACCCTAAACTCTAAATCCTAAACCCTAAACGAGCTGAAGCCTGACGTTTTTGGGCCCGGCATCCCGATCATCGTCGCACAGCCGTACTCGATGCCGGAATGTAGGGTTCAGGATTTCGGGGTTTTGGGTTTAGGGTTTAGGGTTCAGGGTTTAGGGTTCAGGGTTTAGGGTTTTAGGGTTTAGGATTTAGGGTTTAGGGGTTTAGGGTTTAGGGATTAGTACCCAAAGGCTCCTCCTATGTACCTATATAGTACAAGAATGTAGGGTTTCTATATTCGGACTTATTCATGTGATTTAGGGAAGTAATGACCCTAAAACCTAAACCCTAAACCCTAAACCCTAAACCCTAAACCCCCATTACAGTACATAGGATCCTTTGGGGCCAATCTATAATGTTGGCACCACGCAAACCCGCCAGATCCGGCTTATAATAATCAAGACCGCCTGGGTTTAGGGTTTAGGGGTTCGGGTTTAGGGTTTAGGGTTTAGGGTTTAGGGTTTAGGGTTTAGGGTTAGGGCTTATAATAGTCAAGACCGCTATACTATAGTGATCTATAGCATACTATAGCCCTAAGGGGCCATGTACCCAAATAGTATATACATTAGCCCCAAAGTACCTATATAGGGACTACATTAAGGCCATAGTATATACTCTTTGGGTACATGGACCCTTAGGATAGTCTACGTAGTATCAGGACACCCCTTAAAAGGGGATTCCTCTGAACCCTACTTATGGCTCTATTAAAGGGGACATATGACATATCCCCAAGGGTCCCCCTAATCCTAACTCTTACCTGTACCATAGTTTCATGTCGGAGTGTTCTCCACCAGGTAGCTCGCGACCGAATACACTTCCTAGTTTAGGGGACGATGTGAGCCAGAGGACGGAAGGAAACTGTGGGTGTCAAGTCGGCGATTCACAACAACAGCAACACACCAAATGCTGTATGAGCAGCCGGTTTAGGGTTTAGGGTTTAGGTATGAGCAGCCTCACGCGATTACTACGCCACTTCCATATAAGGAGCAACACCTTCCTAGTGGCTAATCTGGGAAAGGTGTTTAGAACTTCGAACATGTAAAAATAACTTGCTGCTGCAAGTCAGGTACGCCATGAGCGTCACCACTTCACAATTTTCGTTTCTTGGTGGCACTTGGCACTATGGCACCTTTTCAAGCATCGGATGTACTGCGTATTCTTGCAGGATGGAGGGAGGTAGCAAAGCTTTGCAACTCCATGTGCCAGAGAGCCCAACACTTTCAAACTGGGAGTATGATACAATCCAGGGGAAAGCTCGACATCATGTGTGATGTCTTCCTAAGTTAGGAGGTACGGGGCTCTGGCATTAAATGCGGGCATGATCGGTGCTCCAGGCACCCCAATTTAGCAAGCTACAGGGGGCTGAATAAATGGTACTATGACTCTTGACCTAAACCCTGAACGCTGTAAACCCTGAACCCCAATCCCCACCCAAGACGCTGAACCCCAAACCCAAGCCAGTTTGCTATCAGAAAATTCAATATTGTCAACAGAAACCGAAAACCCCAAATCCTGTAACCCCGGAACACCCTTGTTAGGCCAGGCTCGGGTGCGGGCCTAATCTTTATACTGCAGTATTATGGCTCACGGCATTTGCCTTGATACAGTGGTATGTGGCTCACAACAGAAAGTTTCATACGGCTTCATAGTATGATTTAGCGTTTATGTGTTAGTTCAAAGGTTCATGGGCACTCTGGATGCATTCGCCGGGCCTAGCTCTAAACCCGAAACTCTATTCCCTAAACTCTAAGCCCGAAAATGTTTGAAAAAACCTAACACCACAGCCCTGACTCTGACGCCTGTACCCTGAAAAAAAAAAAGCTCAGGTGTCTCATCAATGGTTAGGAGGAGACCACCCCGACCCCCATGGACTTCAAGTGGACGTTCTGCGTCAGGCACGGGCCCAAGTCATGCTGAGGTTTAGGCTTTAGGGCTTAGGGTTTAGGGTTTATAATTTAGGGGTTTAGGGTTTAGGGTTTAGGGGTTTAGGGGTTTAGGGTTTAGGGTTTAGGGTTTAGGGTAGGCGAGCCCGGTACCCCATGACTAAGGCCGAGAATTACTCTGAATCACACTGGGAGGCCCTTTGTAATGTAAGGGTGCTTAGGGTTTCTGTGTAGAGAGGTGTTTATGCGCTGAGGAGACACTATTCCCTCAGAACACCCAATCCAGTTTAGCGTAGCCTGCTTGATATAGAAGCCTAAATAATTGCCTATACTATTGTGGGGGGTTCCTTATTATATTTGTAGGATAATGGCTGTGGTACTAAAGCTACCAAGCAGGGTTTCGGGGCAGGGTTCAGGATTCTAGCAAGCAGATGGCTAGTTGAGAGGCCGGTATTTCTAAACTCGGTCTGTTTTTTGATCCCCATACGGCCATGTCATCGACCCTCAGCCCCAAACCCTAAACCTCTACGTGGGTAGTTTTCAAAATTAGGGTCCCTTGTAGGGTCCTTTTTATAAGGTGCCGTACTATGTTGGGGACCTCAAAAGGGACCCTAATCTAGAGAACTACCCGCGTTATAGTTGCAGAGCCAACCACCCAAAGGCCGTCTGCTGAAGAGGAGACCTCCTGAGGCCTAATTCCAACACCCCAAGCGGGTTTAGGGTTTAGGTCTTAGGGTTGAGGGTTTAGGGTTTAGAGGACCTTAGATTTAGATATTCAATACAACTGAACAAGAAATCCCCAAACCTTCTCACAAGCAACACCGTAGGCTAAGGCCGCGGCAGAAAAGAAATGCCAAACCTTAAAATCAAACCAACTAGACCCACCATCCCTAGACTGCGTTATTTTCTTAACATGCGCCAAGCCCAAAGCCCGGAGCTTTAAAATCAAGTTGAGTCCTATACGGGCCGGAATAAGAGCAGTAGTATTCAGTATTCCCTCATCGTTTGTACGGAGCCCTCATAGTTTGTATGGAGTTATGTGCAACATGCTCACCAGAAAACCTTGTTAAGCCCTACTCTAATCTAAACTACTACCCATATATTCTGATGATTAGTATAAGATGCTGAAGAGTCTAGAAACCCTAAACCCTAAACCCTAATGTAATACTCGTTCCTAACAACCCCTGCGGTTTCCTTTTCTGTAGGGGGCTCCGTTTTTTTTTGGGAGGGTTTAGGGTTAAGGGGATCCTTTAAGGGTCCATGTACCCATATAGTATATACTAAAGCCCCGAAGTACTTAAACCTGGACTACAAAACAGTGACTAAATAGGGACTACATGAAGGCCAACGTGTATACTAGATGAGTAGTTACATGAACCCTTAGGGAACGGACCCCTAAAATGACACACATGTTCTGACCCCTGAAGCCCCTGTACGAACGTTAAACCCTAAACCCGAAGCCCATAAGATCCGAGCCTTGCAACCCTAAGCCCTAAGCCCTAAACCCTAAACCCTAGAACCCCTAAACCCTAAACCCTAAGCCCATAAGATCCGAGCCTTGTGTTTCAGAGGCCCTGAAGAACATCATTGAGGGCAACGTCCAGGCCAGAAGCTCCCTCAAAGGTGTATGAGTGTACCCTAAGGGTCCATGTACCCAAATAGTATATACTTTGGCCGTAAAGTAGTCCCTATATAGGTACTTTGGGGCCAATGTATATACTATTTGGGTACATGGACCCTTAGGGGTAGGGACTAGGGTTTTGGGGCCCTAAGGGTTCAGGGTTTAGGGATTTAGGGATTTAGGGGTTTAGGGTTTAGGGTTTAGCCCGAAGGGTTTAGGGCTTCGTTTTTTTTTGGGGGGGGGGAGCGGGGGGGGGGGGCAAATCATTACGAATGCTGGTGCTGGTGCCTTCGATGCCTTGTTTCAAGTGTACTCTGCCATACAACCCCCCTCCCCTTCCAAGAGGAAATCCCATGATTAAGGGGCCTCTTCTCAGTGTTAGAGTCATGAGAAAGGGGGGTCAGGATTTCAAAAACGGTGTTTGGGATATGTTATAGTGCAACTGTACTGGGACTTGTCGGAGAGACTATTACCAACTAGTCAGACCAACGTGTTGGTTAGCTTGCTTGGTAGAGGGTGATGTCTAGTGTTGAGGGCTTACAGTGGCGGGATAAGGTTTCGAAAGACTGGTTGAACGATAAAGCCCACTTTGCAAAAAACGTATCGAGCTGAGGTAGAGGTTCCAAACGAGAGACATGCAAGTGTGAACACACAAAGAACTCGAACCCGGAGATGCAGACAGCGACAAAGAACTGAAGATCAGCAACGACATGAGCAGCGAGATCACACTGGGTGCAAAGAGCGAGCGGAAGAAAGTAAGGGTTGAGGGTTTAGGGTTCCTAAACCCTAAACCCTCAACCCTTGGGCAACATGCTCAGTCCTCGACGGTCTTTTCGCTGCCACATGCGGAAGAGACGGAAATGTCCTGGACCATACAATGTCTGCAGATGCTATGGCTGGTGCAGTGGGTGATATGGCCATGCCTTCGGCTACTGTGGAGGAGTCTGAGGCTCTTCTTTGTGATGGTGATGTTGTTTGTGATGCCCTTGACTCAGAACATGAAGCTCATCCTGTGGCTCATGAGGGTGATGTTCGACAGTAGGATCTTCCTGTATGTTCTTGAACATGAAGAATGTGTCTTCGTGATTCTCCTTGGTGTGTCCTTTGGACCTGGGCAGCTTTGATCTGGAATGGCTCTCCTTGTCTGTCTACTACCTGTGGGATGTTCGGCTCGTCTTCTTCGAAGTCATTGTCTGACCCACCAAAGGGTGTGCTTCGGCAGACGCACGTCATCACACTCCATAAACCTCAGAAACACCAACCCTACAAGGAGGAATGAACTAGAGAAGCGACTGCAACAAACGCGAAAACCAACCAACGGAATACGGACCACGGAACACCCGCTTTTGGGTTTAGGGTTTAGGGTCACATCGAAGGCCAAACGAAGAATGAAGCCTCGAACACACGCACGGAAAGCAACACGAAACCGAGAGGACACAACGAATACAGAAACAGCAAACTGTGAACTACAGCTCGAAGTTTGGCTGTCCTGGGTTTCTCTGCTTTAACAACAAACAAGAATAGTAATAACAATAATAATAGTAACAGTGATGATCATAAGAACAACAGTAATGAAAATAGGATGAGAATACTAGGAAGGAAGCTGCTGTGAACATGACATATCGGATCAAGAAGCAGAGTACGCAATCATGGAGAGGTCAGGACGGTCGAAGAAATACCGTAATATAGGGGCCTAAATGATTAGAATAGGGTTTTGGGGCTTACTATACCATAGTTATAATCAGGAACCCGAATAATTGGTAAGTGTTTAGGCCCTTGCATCAACATGCCGAGCCAGAACAGCTCCATCAAATCTGTTAGCTTGCCTGCACCAAGTCAATGATTCCGAAAGTTGGTGATGGCGAAACCCCACAGCTGACACTGAGCTGTGCCCTGAAGCCTAAAGCGGGTTTAGGGTTTAGGGTTTAGGGCGCAAGTCTCGTGGTCGTGGCTGCAGGGAAGACTGGTGGGTGCCTCTACTGGCCTTGCAAGGGTTGCGTGTAAGAAAGCCGGCCTTTTAGGGATCCTTGGAAAAGTCTTAGGGTTCGTTGGGGTTAGGGTTCAGGAACCCTAAACTAAACCCTAAACTAAACCCTAAACCCTAAACCCTAAACCCTAAACCCTAAACCAACCAACCAACCAACCTAAACCCTGAACCCTAAGTCTCAGGTTATTTGAAGCTAGGCTCCGGAAAGTACATTTTGTCCCCGGAGCGCCTTGCGGCTTCGCCCATCCAAAGTGTTTCATACAGGGGGTCGGAAGAGTCACGAAGATTCTGTTCTTCTGAGTCTAGAGCCCCGCCATACATAATCACACTGTACTCTCTCTCTCTCTCTCTCTATATATATATATATACCCCCAAAAAAAACAGAACCTGAATCCAATGTTGAAGGACGCCATGCGATAAGATGTTTGCTTCGCCTCTCAATTCCCTTTAGGCTCTCGCAACAGAGGACTATTCAACTTCCAGGTGACCCACCCTAAACCCTAAACCGTGCCGATGGATGGCTGGAATTCCCCAATAGCCTGAAGCAAAAGACAGCTCCCCCGAACCCATTGGACTTTTGGGCTTAGGGTTCGAGCAGTGTCTTGCACTACCTTGAACGGCTTTTTCCTCACACTGGGGTGTGGTGTGGTTTACTGTTTAGGGTTTAAGGTTGTTTAGGGTCTTGAGGCTTTAGGATTTAGGGTTCTGGGTTCTCTGTCAGTCCCAGTTGCCCGCAGGGACTGGTGCAGCTGTCTAAAGTCGGACCCCAGCATTTCCAAGAGAACCCACGTCTACAGCTTAAGATTTAATCAGCGAGGCTTAGGATGTGGGACGGTTAGGGTTTTGGATTTTGAGATGTGGGAGTTTCCGAAAAATTAGGGTACCCTATTTTAAAGTCCTTATAATAAGGATCCTACTATTTAGGGTACTATATTAGGGTCCCCTATTTTCTGAAACCCCCATGTGGTTCGCACTCCAGGCAGAGCTTGACGTATTCACGCAGTTCTCGGGCAAGAACCGCAAGATTTCCGCGAAAGAGCGAGTCCAAATCAGGGACTCGTTGATCTGGTTTGACTGGTTCTCCGTGCCGCAGATGGTATGCGCACATCGGAACGATCCGACAATCCGGGCTGAACAGCTAAGTTCCATCAGATCCATCCCGAGTTTCATCCAGGCTTCTGACATGTTCATTGCTCCGAGGTCCCCGGAGTAGTACTTGTTTTTTACATTTTTGTGTTGGAGGGTTCCTTGCTAAGCATGAATAACACAGGAAAAGGGGTTTAGGGTTCAGGGCTTACGAGGGAACTTCGAGGGTTCCTTGCTAAGCACGAATAACACAGGAAAAGGGGTACACCACTGACAAGCCTTTTCGATCAAGCGCCATCTGTGACCCCCATCTAGTGTATCATTGGCCCTTAACAACCAAAATAGGATCATATTAAGGCCAAAATATATACTGGGAATATACTGGATATGCGTTCATGGACCTTAAGGAGGGGATAAAACTCAGAACCCTTGTTTCTTATCGCTAAACTCTAAACCTTAATGCCCTAAACCCCTGAACCCGAGACTCTTTAAGGGGGATACTATAGAAGCCTAAATAATTACCAATACTATTGTGGCGGTTTCTTTTTATATTTATAGCACAATGGGCCCCAAAACCCTATTCTAATTATTAAAGCCCTTAACATAGAACCCCATTATAGATCCCTTATAGAGCCCTTTTAAGAATCCCTTTAAAGGAACCCCCCCCAAAAAAAAAACAAAACCTACAGCACCCTGGAACCCAGGCTCTCGTGCCTCCTCTCCTGAGTCGTTCCACACGCAGCATGGTTGGCTTTTCTAGCTGGTTGGTGCGCGGCTGGTGCAGGACCTGCTGTCAAAAAAGAGAACTCGAAAGCTCATGTTAAATTTGCGGAATGTAGTTGTCATAGTAATTAGTAATTATACCACAAACCATGAAACCGCAGTTTAACAGTTTCTGATCCCTACACCCCGGAAGCAGGGTCAAGCCTATAGAAGTTTATGGTAGATGTCGATCGGGACCCCAAGTCAGACAGGCCTGCGCAGGAGCATTTTATGAGGTCTGAGCTCGTCGTCGAAAAGATCTCATACCTTGACCTGGACCCCAAAAGTATGTAGAAATAGTCATTATTTTAGTTGCTTTGGGGGGTTTGAGTATGGTATGATGCAGAACTGTACCACCCGCCCGATTCTATGCACTCAGGCCCCTACATGTGTGATTTCCTAAAATCCGGACCCAGAACGCGCCACATACAGATCTAAGTCTGGAGATCCTTCTCATGCAAAAGTCCGCACTTGCCAGCCGGGGTACCATTGCCCTAAACCCTAAACCCTAAACCCTAAACCCTAAACCCTAAAACCCTATGATTCTTCACAAGGAGACCTTAGACCCAACGGAACAGTCTACCTCGCTGTAACCCACCATGCAGTTTAGGACCCTCCTGAATCGTTGGAAAAGTGGATAATAGGGTTTAGGGTTTAGGGTTTAGGGTTTAGGGTTTGGGGTTTAGGAATGTTACCTACTATAAAAGTAAAAGTCTACACTTTTCTGGGCTTATGAACTCAGCAACTAATAAAGATTGGATTTCTGAGTTCTCACAGGACGGAAATGTGGTGCAAGCTCCTGGGCTCAGACACAGTCGATGTGCCGATCTTGATCGTCTCGGCCGCAGACAAGCTGGAGTTCGTGGGCCACTTCCCTTGGTTCAGGGTTTAGGGTTTAGGGTTTACGGGCTTAGTTTAGGGTTTAGGGTTTAGGGCTTAGATTACAGAGAAGTTGCGCGAGCCTAAGCTTTGGGTTTAATGTAGGGGCCTTAATGATTAGAATAGGGCATTTGGGGCCCATTTTACTATAGTTATAGTAAAGAACCGCCAAAATCGTATAGGCAATTATGTAGGCTTCTATATTAGGGAGGTTTTGTGAATAACTGAGAATGTTCGTTTTGTGAGCACAGCTGTTATGTCCATCAGATTTCAGGACTTTGCTCGGCTTGGGTCTTGCTGAACCTTCAACCCTAAACCCTACACCCCAAACCCCTACACCCTAAACCCCAAACCCCTAAACCCTAAACCCCACAGCCCTAAACCCCCAAACCCCCAAAGCCCTAAACCCCTAAACCCTAAACCCCAACCCCTAAACCCCAAACCCCTAAACCCCTAAACCCTAAATCCCAAATCCCTAAACCCCTACACCCTAACCATTCAGTCACCAGCCTTCTCTCCAGCTGATCAGATAGTATTTTGCCATGAGGTGTCTGAACAAGTCACCGACTCTGAAACCTAAGCCGTAAGCCCTAAACTCTAAACCTGTTTAGAGTTTAGGGTTTAGGGTTAGGGTTTAGGGTTTAGGGTTTAGGGTTCTAAACTTCCCTAAAACCCCAAGTCGTAAGCCCCAAGCTCTAAGTTCTTGATGTTAAACCCCTAAACCCTAAAGCCCTCAACCAGCCAACCAACCTAAGGCCGTAAGCTATAAGCTCTAAACTCTTCAGGGCAATTTCTGCTTGGCTCATACCTGGCTTCCCCGAAGGGTCCATGTGCCCAAACACAGGGCTATGGGTTCAGGGTTTATAGGGGTTTAGGGTTTAGCACTTTTAGGGTTTAGTGTTTACGGTTTACCCAAATACTATATAGCTTGGCCCCAAAGTACTTATATAGGGACTACATTAAGGCCGGTTTGGGGTTTAGGGCTTTTAGGGTTTAGGGTTCCCAAATACTATATAGTTTGGCACCAAAGTACTTTTATAGGGACTACTTTAAGGCCAAAGTACATTCTATTTGGGTACATGGACCCTTAGGGTTCCCAAATACTATAGGGTTTAGGGTTTAGGGTTTAGGGTTTAGGGTTTAGGGTTTAGGGGTTTAGGGTTTAGGGGTTTCGGGGTTTAGGGGTTCAAGGATCAACTGAATCCTGAGACACAGGTCCTTACAGCTGGGTGCAAGCATTGGCGCAAAATGAAGGCGACTTCGCTATGGAAGGTGATCGCCATCTATGTCGTAGCGTGGTCCACTGCTGGAGATAGCAAGCTTCCTTTCCTGCCTTGGTCGGTTTCGGGTTCTTGGGTTTAAAAGTTCAGGGTTCCGACCTTGTTGCTTCTTGGAGAAGGTTCCCTTACGTTAGTTCAAGTTAGGGTTTTGGGTTTAAGGGTTTGGCACGGTTATTACTAAGGTGCCCACGACCACATAGAGGTATATAGCCATAAACCCTAAACCCTAAACCCTAAACCCTATAGCCATAAATCCTAAACCGCTTGGTCACAGGTTCAAGGCGCTTTGGATTTGAAGCTCGCCCGACTGGCGCAGGACAAGAAGCAAAGATCCTGGTTTAGGTGGCGAGTCGTGGGAATGAGAAAGATTCATCCTCTCCTGTTTTCATCCCCGTTGTAACATGTTGTGCTTGTAGCTAGGATGACGTATGAAGTATCCCAGGTACCTTGCAGCCAGGTATGCGGACTTCATCTGTGCGCCTGCTCCTTCACGCAACGCGGAGGACTTCGTGTCCCATTTTCGTTTCTCCTCAATGGAAGCTTGCGTGTCGACAAGATCGGGAATGGGTGCCGTGGCGTGTGCGGCACTGTCGGGAGATATAGCTATGCTGCGCCGGCTGGTGAACATGAAGGCGTCGCTGGAAGCGACGAAGATCCCGGCCCTCTGGGAAGCGGCTCTACCACTGAACGCCAGCCCTCTGATCATGACCCTTACCCGTGGGAATCGAGGAGAGGCTGCCGCAGAGGAGCTGTTGAAGCTCCGTGCAGATGCAAACGCCGTGGAGGGCAACGGCGGAGCACCTGTTGCGTATTGCACCTGGGACCTAGCTAAAACCCGGGTTTAGGGCTGCTAGAACCCCATAAAGAACGTGCAAAAGTTAAAGAGTTTTGGTAGGTTAAACTAGGTCTCCCTGCAGTGCCCTTTGCCATCTTTATCTTAAGGGTTTCCATATTGGAGCTGAATAGGGGGGAAATGTATACTTAAACAATCCCTAAACCCGAATCGCCCTAAACCCTAATATCGGCATTCCTACTACTACCACTACTACTACTACTACTACTACTACTACTACTACTGCTGCTACTAAAGGCGACCCGGGGGAACCGAGGCACCACACCGAACTCGGTGGATTTGCTCGTGGCGTACGGTGCAGACGTCAATCTCCGCCTGGCTCCGACGATGATTTCGCCGCTTTGCGGTATCTCGGCTCCTCAGTAGTACCCTCTCTCTCGTTTTTCTCGTTTTTCGTTTTAAAGTTCCGGATTCCCTTATTGAAACTGAGTACCGGGCACCCTTTCTATTAAGGGGGAATGGGGAACCTAGGTATGTGTGCTCGGGGTGCCCCGCCGGCAACGGTGGCCGCGCTGCTGAAGCATCGCGCAGAGGTGAACTTGAACGAAGGGGGTCTGGGGCAGAGGCTTGGCCGACCTAGATCTAGATAGGCCATTGGGAAATTCAGAGATTTTCTCTATGGGGCTCAAAATGAACCCTTCTCCCACAAAAGTATTAATATGTATTTATTAAACCTCATCCTTACCTGACTACCAGCAAGTTCAGCTCAGAAATTAATCCCTAAGCCCTTATAAAATCCTAAACCCTGCTGTAGAGGGCCAAGCTTGGAGGCCTCTGCTCCTTGGGCTCCCGAAACCCTACGAAAGCCTACCTTCCAGAGCCTGCTTCTCCTTACGTCTTTGTTGCAAAAACCCTAATGTAGACTTTTGAGGGACCCTGCCAAAAAAAAACAGGCTCTGGTAGGTTAAGGTAAACCTAAAACCTCACCAAGGAGCGCTCTGCAGTTCATGAGCATCTTTGCGAATGGCAATCTCCATAGCATCTCGCTTGCTCAGATGGTGAAACCCGACGAGGATCGATATTGCACATGCCCCTAAACCTTAAACCGTATATAGACCCTAAACACTAAAGCAGGCCGATGAACCCTAGCTAGACCCTCCAGACTCCAACGTATATAAGCCCCAAACCTTCAAACAACGCCCTACACCCTGCACCCAATAAGCTCCCAGATTAGGAGTTACCCTGCACCCTAAACCCCTACACCCTAAACCTTAAACCCTAAACCGTAAACCCCTAAACCCCTATACCCTAAACCCTACCCCCCAAGCCCTGAAGCTCTGAACCCTAAATCACCGTAGCAGCTGAGACCGCTGCCTGGCCGCAGAATGTTGGTCTTGTTTTGCGACTTGAGCTTCTGGCACCAAGCCGTTTCGGGTTTTAGGGTTTAGGGTTTATATAGGGGTTTAGGGTTTAGGGTTTAGGGTTTAGGGGTTTAGGGGCTTCGGGTTTAGGGTTTTCGGGTTTAGGGTGTAGGGTTTTAGGGTTTAGGGTTTAGGGTCTAGGGTTTTAGGGTTTTAGGGTTTTAGGGTTTGGAGCTATCCCAGCAATCAATGGTACTGCACTAAGCAAACCCACCAGAATCTAGAGCCCCGCACCCCTGTTTCTCTGAGACTCGGGACACCTTAAGTTTTGAAGCTTGGACTATTGTTTAGGGTTCAAAGGCTGCGGTGCGTCATAGGGCCCTTCAACTGAATCTACCATGGCTTTAGTTTCTTTCAACCAAGGGGTGTATATACCAGGCCTTAGAGGCTTTACGGAGACTTCACAAACCCCGAATTTCCCTCGGCATGCGAAGGAAGGTGTGTTCCTTTTCTGTCGATCCTAGTCCTCTTCAGCCTTACCCCTTACTTGGAGGTTCATGGGTAGGGTTTAGGGTTTAGGATTTAGGGTTTAGGGTTTAGGAGCTATAAGTGGGGTTATAAGTCCCTGAATTGGGTTACAGCTATAGTTACCCTATGTGTAACCCTACTTATAGCTGACCATGAACCTCCAAGTAACCCTATAAAGCTGACACCTTAAACCAGCAGCCAAACGCTAAACTCTCCTAAGTTCTCCTAAGCCCCAAACCCTAAGGCGTAAACCCTATCCCTAAAACCTAAACCAAAAGCCTAAACCCTACCTTAACCCCCAACAACCTACTTGTTTAAGGAATTTACAAGGAAATCAAATCAAGGAACACCAAAAAAGCTAGGTCTCGTGGGGTCCAGAAACCCTACCTCCTAAGCCCGTTGCCGAGGCGTCAAAGCGACTTGGTTACGGACCCTTGAACCCTAAACCCTCATGGTACCCTGATAGAAACCCAGACGGGAACCCTTGAAGGCACCCTTACTAAACCCTTAAACCCTCTAAAGCCCTTTACGTGAACCCTTGAACCCCTAAGCCCTTAACAAAAGATCTGAAACCTTTAACACCCTTAACCCCTTGACACCTTAAACCCTAAACCCTACAAGCCCTAAACCCTATAAGCCCTATAAACCCTAAACCCTAGACCCTGTAGGCCCTATAAGCCCTATAAAGCCTATAAACCCTTTGAGCCCTAAACCCCTGTCCTTTGCCGAGGCGTCCAAGTCGCCCAGACGCTTCTTGAGGCCGCTGCAGAGGTCAACAAGCCGGCAAACATAGGCCCAGTGCTCCTCCGACGCATTACCAGGGTTGAGGAGTAGGGATTCAGGGGTTTAGGGGTTCAGGGGTTTGGGGTTTAGGGGTTTAGGGTTCAGAGGTTCAAGGTTTTAGGGGTTCCGGGTTCAGGGGTTTAGGGTTTAACTAGGGGTGTAGGGGTTCAGGGGTTCAGGGGTTTAGGGTTTAGGCCCGGTGCTCTTCCGACTCTTCCGACGCAATCCACTTCGAGCTGCAGACCACAGGTTCTTATAAGACTCTAAGGTGCTATAACTTATAACCTACTTGGTATACCACGGTATACGCACCATGATATAGTCTGATATCCTACGATATGATAGGCTAACCAAAGAGAATTTCCAGAGTTTATCGATGGCTTCCGCACGGTTCTACATGTTGGGGGGGGGGGGTTGAGGACTTATAGATTTAGGGTCGTTGTTATTATTTTCGGGTTTCGGGCGGGCTCATGGTTATGATGATTTCTCTTGGTTTTGGGCAATGTGGTATCGTGGTTTAGGGAATAGGTATTCTGTAGTGTTGGTCAGGATATCTACAGGAATTGACGTGTGTTAAGGTGCTTCTTTTTTTTTGGGAGGGGGGGGGTGGGGGGTAGGGTTCGTAATGGCAACGTAAACAGAGGGGTGTTTTTGTTAGGAATCACGATGACGCTTTGTTGAAGGGTAAATCGCTAAGGCTACTATGGGCTCGAGTCTCTCTCTCCCTCTTTGTCCTTCGTGTGTTGTTTCGCACTCTCCTGTGTATTCGCACTCATGATGCGGATTCTCTTTGCATATGCAAACGTATCTACACGTATTTACCGGTACTCATACTGATTAGACTCCAAAAGCACGCTCCATACAGGCTGTATAAGACCAAATAAATCCGAAGACCCCCTATGCTAGGAATTCCTACCCTATAGAGATACTGAGCGATGAAGAACCCCTCATATGGCCAAGATATGGACCCTTATCGAAAGCAACTAAAAAGAGGGTGTTGGGGCGTAGGGCTTTTCGGGCAGGCCCTGACTGCCTTTCCGGGTCGTTCTACATTCTGAAATCCCCAGCTTAAGAAGGTCGATCTTTTTGGAGTTAGGATTTTCCTTCAACCTTCCACTTTTCGGCAAAACCACCTTAGTCTTCCTAATGCGGTTGAAGTATATCTTCATTACGAAGCGCTAAATTCTACGGAGGTGCAGATGTGTGAGGGCTATTGGCTCCAGACGTCGCCTTAAACCCCGAACCCCTGAACTTGACTACACCTGAGGGTCTGCCTCCTTACGAGAGTATGGACGTCATGGAAAGGCGGTGGTCAGCAATCTCCAAGTTTCGAGGTTCACAACAGTCTCAGGATGTTGGTGTTTAGGGTTTAGGGGTCTTAGAGTTCTTGGTGGAGTTTCAGGGGTTTGAAGTTTATAGCCCTAAGGGTCCATGTACCCAAATAGTATATACATTAGCCCCAACGTACCTATATAGGGACTACATTTAAGGCCAAAGTATATACTATTTGGGTACATGGACTCTTAGGGTAGGGCTCAAAACACAGACCTGCTGCAAGACAAAATAACTGACCCCACGCGCGGGAAGCATCGAGCTGGTGAGGTTTCGCATTGTGGAGATGGCCTCCAGGGGCGTGAAGCTTTGCACCAAGGCGTGGCAGAATGTGGTTTGACAACATGAAATCCTTTGGGCTCCTTTCAGGGTTTTGAGGTTTAGGGTTTAGGTGTTTAGGGTTTAGGGTGCGGAACCCAGCATTAAAGCTTGAAAGGCTAATAGCCTTACGGGCCTAAGACCTGCAATCCTCAACGCCCAAAGTGCAAAGCCTTCAAGCCCGAAACAGACCCGAATGGCAACGCCTGTCAAGAACTCGAACTCCTACGCCCCACAACCCTAACCCTAAACCCTAAGCCTTAAACCCTAAACCCTAACCCCTAAACCCTAAAACCCTAAACCCTAAACCCTAAACCCCTAAACCCCTAAACCCCTAAACCCTAAACCCGAAACCCAAACTGCCTGAAGTGCCGAGCCTTTTAAACCGCAAGAAAGGCCCCTCGCTGCTTCAGGGCTAAACTCGTTTGGGGCCCAGGGTGCAGGGCTTACGTGCTTTGGGGGCTTAGGGTTTAGGGTTTGGGGGTTTAGGGTCTAGGGGTTTAGGGGTTTAGGGTTTAGGGTTTATGGGGTTTAGGGTTTTGGGGTTTAGGGGTTGTGGGGTTTAGGTGGGGTTTAGGGTTTAGGGTTTTGGGGTACTTCATCCGGCGTAGAGTGTCCTTTTGCCCGAACCCCTCAACCAGAAACCTCCAACAGATTAACCTTTGCAAACACAAGCCTGTGGGGGCTAGGGTTTGGGGTGTCGGGTTTAGGTTTTTCGGGTTTGGGGTTTAGGGTTTAGGGCCGGGTTTAGGGGTTAGTTTTTGGGATGGGCAGCTTGGGTTCCTCAAACACAGGCCGTTCGCCCCGAAGCGCCGAAATTGAAGAGCCCTCTTACCAGGCCTTTGCACTTCTTTTGGAGGTTCATGGGTAGTTTTAAGTAGGGTTGTAAGTTGTAAGTAGGAAGACCTATAGTTATCATAAGCCGTATGAAAGGATTCATATCCCCACTTAGAACTAGCCCTGCACCACCAAATCCGATAAAGTCCTGCAAAGCAAAACTCTTACCCTGAGCCCGAAACCCTTAACCCTCTTACCTGAAGGAGCCACCACTTCTCGTGTCCTGGTTCGCAGAGATGTCGACCACACCCTTGGGCGCGGCCTCCTTCTTCGGATGTCCAGAGACACTCAGCTTTAAGGGTTTAGGGCAGTTTACGGCTTGGTGTTGAAAGGTTTCAGAGAGCACGGTTGCGGTGCAACGCAGCAGGTTTTGGACAAACAATCCCTAACCCTCCAGGTACCTACTATATAGGGCCCCTAGGGGCTCTAGTACCCTATATAGTAGGTACCTGGGGGGTTAGGGAATGGTGACAGATCTTTCTGGGTCGCTTACATCTCAGCCCGAAGCCATGTTCTGCAACGCTTCCTTGGTTGTGGAAATAGGTCCGTTCCCCGCAACAGAGCCAAACCCTAGTATGAGAGAGTAGTGCGCCGCACAGCAACAGCAGGCAAAAGCAGCCAACGCCGCCCCACCCTCAGCAGAACCAGGAAAAGATCATCAGTTACAACTGCGAGAACACGTCTCCCGATTGTTTCGGTGCTGGTCGATCTCACAGACTCGCAATACCATGAAGCCTAAACCCTAAACCCTAAGCCCCTAAACCCTAAAAGAAGCTCAAGCCCCAGCGCACCCGAAATGATGAACAACCCTGGAGCTTTGACTCTAGACCAGGCCCATCCAGGAGTACCCTAAACCCTAAACCCTACACACCCAATCCGAAATCCACGATAAAGCCGGGTGCAGGCTTCAGGCTTCTGAATTTAATATAGGGGCCTTAATAATTACCTATACTATTTTGGAGCTCCTTACAAATTCAGTATAATGGGCACCAAAACCTTATTCTAATTTTTAAGGCCCCTACATTACGCCCTAAACTCACTTGGCCCTTTTCAGCAGGCGGCTTCCTTCTTGCTGAAACCTGAACTATTCAGAAAGAGTGCACTGATGCAGGGGAGACGGAGGAACCAAGCTTCGGGTTAAGGGAATATGCTTGGAGGTTCTTGGGTAGTTAGAGGTGGGGATGTGGGTCCTTTAGTTGTCATGGTTTTCTTATTGTACTTGCAACCCTAGCTATAGCTACCCATGAACCGCCAAGTGACCCCCAAGACGCCCACGAATCAGTGCAGACATGTGCTGACCTTGTCGAACCCCATCAAATCCCACAGCACCTTCATTAACGCTTTGCGACGCCTTTTTTAGATGTTTACACAACCCGCTGATAGAGAGCCCCTTGCAGAGAAACATGTAGGAATCGGTGTTATTAGTAATGGTATACTCTTACCGTCCCTTTATGATTCCACATCTGTTCTTCAGTACCCCCCCCAAAGCCTCTTCAAATTATTAAGACCCCACAGGCCCACCATGTTAGAACCCTTATAGTAGGACCCCGTCCAGGAACCCTTGAAAGAACACTTACACCTCATACTTCGTAGAAAGAACGAGGATGGTCAAACTCCTTTTGGCTGCAAGAGCCGATCCAGAAATCCGTCGCTGGGCCTTCTGTTGGGTGGGTCTGGGCAGTAACATAGGGCTTTCGGGGTTTTAGGCTTTCAGTAATTACATGGGTAGTTTTCTAAATTAGGGCTCCTTTTGGGGTCCTTTTTATAAGGGTGCCGTACTATATTGGGGACCCAAAAAGGGACCTTAATTTAGAGAACTGCCCACATGTTTACGGATCGGTGTGGGGGTTGTGGCTAGCTGCAGCAGTGGCGCTAGTGGTGGTAGTCAGCATTACTAACAGCGCTAGTCCTAGCAGCAGCAATCGTAATATCAACTTATCATAGTAATCGTAATCGTAACAGTAGTAGCAGTTGTAATCGTCATAGTAACTAATAGATTCAGAAATCGTAATCGTAAGTAATATAGCAGTCAGTCGTACTTACAAGTATAAACCCTAAACCCTAAACCCTAAACCCTAAACCCTAAACCCTAATAGGCCAGTGTTTAACCGGCCTGGGGTCTGGGGATGAGGGTGCAGGGCTTTCGGGTAGCATCATTTAGGGTGTAGGGTAAGCCCTAACCCCTAAACCCCAAACCCCAAACCCTAAACCCTAAAGCCCTAAACCCTAAACCCCAAACCCTAAACCCTAAACCCTGAACCCTGGACCCTGAAGCCCTAAACCGTAAAACCCTAAACCCTAAACCCTAAACCCTGAACCCCTAAACCCTAAACCCTATTCAGTTCAAAACGCTTGGCTGCCCAGGCAACCACCGTGGGCGAACGCCCAAGGACCTTGCCGCCGGGACGAGGATCCGCCAAATTCTTGACGGGAGAGAAGGCACACTACAGTTTAGGGATGGGTTTAGGGTCTGGGGTTTAGGATTTAGGGGATTACCAAACCCGAAGGCTCTAAGTATATAGTATATACTTAGGACCCCATTTTTGGCCAAAAGTATACTACAGGGGTACATGGAGCCTTCGGGAAAAGGGGCCCAAACGACCCAATAATCAGGTACTTTGCTTGCGGATAGGTTGATACTTGGGAGAGGATATGAATGTCAGGTTTGGGGATCGGGAATTAAGGGCGCAGGGCCGTGTAGGGTTTCGGTAAGAGCTTCTCAGAGGTTGCTTTGCGATCTGGATCTTGCAGATTAATATGTCAGCCTTAATAATTACGTATATATATATATATATATGAGCGACCACGGTTATTTGGTCTTATTATGTTAAGAGTACAGGCGGACATGGTAGTACCGATTTTGCCAGCGTTACTTGGGGAACGAGATAGGGCCCGCAGTTAAAACCAGATGGTTAATATATTACATATTGTACATACTCATATTTATGGCGTGGTGCAAAACCTGCCCTCCAATTGACTGGGTCCGTCCGACGGCGTTGGGAAACCCCCAACAGGCCCGTTCCGGGACCCCCCCACCCACCCTCCACTCCCGCTGTGGCGTAGTGCAAACCCGCCCTCCAATTGACTGGGTCCGTCCGACGGCGTTGGGAAACCCCCAACAGGCCCGTTCCGGGACCCCCCCACCCACCCTCCCGCTGTGGCGTAGTGCAGATTTCGTGTTGTCGCCATAGTCCTGCTGGGATTGGCGATTTAATTGTACAGCGCGAGACGACTGGCGCTCGCACACGGGATGTCTGCGTTTATCATCTTTTATCTCTTTGTTTTGGATTGGCGTTTTAGGTCAGATACCGTGACTTTCTGACGGTTTATTTCGGTGTTCTTTCCTGTGAGGGAAGCTTTATCCAGGAGTTCTTTGGTGCGCAGCCGCAGCATGTGGCACAGACGAAGAACGACAAGCACACGGAACGGGAGGGCAGCTCAGGGCTTGCAAGCAACACGGTACCAGAAGGCGACGGAGAGCGTGCTCAGAACAGCCCGGTAAAGTGCAAAGTTGCTGGCACGGAGTTGCACACACCGCCCAGCAAGCGTGCGCCGGGAGAGGAGGACGTGACACCAGCAAAGGATCCACCACCGCGGCGAGTGCGACGCAAGTGCTCACAGCAGGCTCGGAAGCCTCAAGAGAAAGTTGTCTTGTGGATTTTGTCCATAAATCAAACCCTAAACCCTAACTCTAAACCCTAAATGCAGGGCATCTCGGACAGCCCCAATGCCGCAGCAACTCCGGAATCTTGTCCTCACATACTCTCTTGCACTTCTGGGCGAGCACCAATTTCCCAGCAGCGTGGCTTGTATTGATTCAGGTCGACGTTCCCGAGGATGAGACACAGGATGTAATGGTGGCACCGGAAGCTTGGAAAGGCAGTTTTTCAGAGTAAGCGGCAGTTGACACATAATGCCAGGGTGGCCGGCGAAGCTAAGGACGTTGCAGCGGATGGACCCTCGCTCACAGCTCGTGCCAAGGACTTGCTTGAGGAGCACAAGCAAGTGTTCGAGAAACTCTCGCGCATGCAAGGTGCTTTCAAAGTAAAGACTAGTCCTGCAGGCCAAGTGCCTGCACTTGTTCCGCGATGTCTTCTCTGCAATGCTGAGAAGCACCATTGCCTGTGGGAGTATCGCCGGAACAACCGTAGCAAACGAGTCGTGACCGGTGGATCTTGCTACAGCTGCTGTCGGACGGCTGTTTTGTTGAAGTGCAGCAGGAGCGTTATGCTTCTGAAAGAGTCAGGGGCGCTGGCACCTTTCTTGAGTTTGAGTTCTAGCGTACCCGACTCACTCGGGGATGCTGACATCTGCACATGCTTTGTCTGCAAGTAAAGCAGTCAGAGCCTGTACAGCACACGTGCGGGTTTCAGAGCTGGGTGGCGACGCATCCAGGATTGGATGCATCGCAAGAACAGGTTCCGCGGATTCTGTGCACTGGGGAGGGCTCCGAAAAAGAATGCTTGCGGCTTCGAGCAGCTGGGATGGCAGCATCTTGTAACCAACCCCACCTGTAGCTCTAAGCCCCACGCTTCAAGCCCAAGGACCAGGTGGCGGAATGCAGTCTGATCTCTAAGGGAGCTTGGGCAAATCGGTCAGACGAGTAGGCTGCTGTCAAGTAGCGCTGGGAGAATGGCAACACTACAAACGTCGGCGCCCAAAAGCATTTTCGCCCCCGAAGGCTTCCCACAAAAATCCTCAACAACATTACGCAACTTTAGGCCCTGCTGCTGCTCCTGCCTGAAGGCTTCCCACAAAAATCCTCAACAACATTACGCAACTTTAGGCCCTGCTGCTGCTCCTGCCCGAAGGCTTCCCACAAAAATCCTCAACAACATTACGCAACTTTAGGCCCTGCTGCTGCTCCTGCTGCTGCCGATGTTGTCGTTGGTGCTGATGCTGCTGAGAATGTGGTGACTCCATGAGGCGTCTGCGTTTCAACTGTCGGCGCTGCTGCTTCTGCTGCTGCTGACAATGATGTTGGTGCTGATGCTGTTGGTGTTTGTTATAGTGACGATGAGGAACTGTCCTACTTGTCGTGGCAATCCTAGAGCTTCGCGTTCCTTCCGAGGCCCCTTCAAGAAGATTGAAGCTAAAGATCTAAAGCCCTCGCTCCGGTAGCAATACCCTAAACCCTTGGCTCAAGCCATTTTGGCTCAAGGGTTGGGGTTGTCGGGTCTGCCCTTCAGGGTCGAGGGTCTGCCGTTGGTGCTTCTCCGAGGGGGCTGCGTTGATTCCGCCGTTGATCGCCCCGCTGGCGGGTGCACGGGTCAGTGGTGATCCCCGGTTACTCGATCCTCCGGAAGGACATGGCCGGGGCGGCGAAAAG